GCGCGCATCAGTTTTGGGGCTCCCGGAGGATGTCATCCATATAATCAAATCAACATGGCCTAAAGAACAGTCAGAATTGCGGAAGCATCATGACATTTGTTCTACGACTACATGACAAATCTCTTTATCCTTTCTCTTCTCCCGCTCAAGCCGCAAACCATGAATAGAAATAGTTCCTGTGTCGTCTCTTTGTATTCCTCGCACTTCTGAGGAATACATTTGGAGAGAACTTCGACCGCGTGGGAGTTACACATACAACATGCACTCTGCATCCATGAATAGTATGAACCAAAGAGCATAGCTCACGCAACGGTATCAGTATAAAACTTCCTTACATATATTTCATTCAACGAAAGGTACATATGAATGAATGAATGAACATATGATATGTGCATTTATCTATAAATTTTCACTTCAATGGTATTGTCATCTAATAACTTATAAAAACTTTAAATTTGGTAAGTATCTGTTTTGACTCACAGAAAGCAGACATTCATGGTTTTGACTCTTTGCATGGTTAATGTGAATCGATCACACAAAGAGGCTGTCGAAAAACTGCCTGTGTAGCGGAAGGGCTTGGATATCTCAACGTTTCCGCCAATGTCTTAATCGAATAGCCTCCTGTGTGGGCCTCCGAGTGGCTGGGCGTTGCAATACTGGGCTTTGTAGAAATATTGACCCATGCTTTTGTCGAAGGGTTTGTTCTACGATGACCGGCTGTTTGTAGACTCTACCAGGCTTCTGAAGCGGCTGAAAAGAGCAGAAATTTGCCAAATAGACAGATAACATGCCAAGGAAGTTCCGGTAAGGAATACTAGTACATTTTCTGACTCCCGGGCATATCTGTCAATTTGGCCAATTTCTACTCCTCCCAGCCGCTTCCGAATCCTGACAGAGGCTAGGTTGGTAGCACGATGGCCGGCAAAAGAACGCGTTGACAAGTATGAAAACGCCCACCCGCCTGGAAGTCTGCACAGGAGGCTATCATCGAAAGTCGACACAAACGAGTTCTCAACACGCTTCCATCAAGGAAACAGCCTGGAGAAGTCTACAGGAAGTCAGATAAGGACATGGAGACTTAGACGTGCCTTGCATATGTCTTATCTACATACAACGCATACAAGGCTCCTGGCTTATGCTGAGGTCACTTTTTTTTTATTCCAACATTTCATGACTAGACATAGTAATGGCAAACTCAAGTTATATCAACTTATTTTATGCCGTCACCAACGCAGATAAAGGACAAATACGGAACAAGACAGTACTCATTTTCACCTGAGATAAGTGAGGAAAGTCGGGTAAAGTGCCTTTCCCAATGGCACAAGATCGGTGGCATGTCAGGACTCGAACCCGGGACCTCTTGGTTCCGAGTCGTGCACTCTGCCGCTACGGCACACGACCCCACGAGGTCACATTTCCAAACCGGGGCCCGGCCGGGCAGTCTTATATGTGGAACGAAAAGTATTATATAAAAGGCAAGAAAGCGCAAACAAGATGAAAAAATGAACAATGGGAACTATTTGTGTACATTATCATATAAATTGCTGATTTTTCGTTAATCGAAACAGCCCGGACGTAATTCGTAATCCACCCCCCCCCCCATGCAGGCCCTCCAATGCTTCTCTTTCATGTTAAATATTGTCTTGGAAACTGTATAAATCATAGCTTAAGTGACGGGTTTGTTTTAGTATATTTGTGTGGGTAAGAAGTTACGGTCAGGCGTTTCTCACGCAAAGTCTCGCGTGGTTTGTAACGAGAACTGACAGTTTTGAAAGGGTCTGGGAAGATGGAATCACAGATAGCAGTCCGACCCAATTAAAACTCCGTACGTGCTTGACATAGCATATCCATCCCGCCTCCACAACATCAATTCACAAACCGCCGGCTTTCCCCTCTCACTGTGCGCTCATTAAAACCAAGACAGGTCACCGCACCGAAACATGAAGAACAGATCTGCCAAGTACGTTCTAAATCTCTGTCACGATAGCGGAAGCTTGGACTTGGTAATGGATTTGTGTTGACTTTCTCAACATCTAGGGCTGTCATTCCTACTCAAGTTAAAATGGGATCAGTGTTTGGACTCTAGTACTAACTTAAGGGCTTTCAGTTAGAAGTCTTCCTCTTTCTCAAATTGCGAAAGGATCGCAAAGGGGTTTTATTTGTGTGTACTTTTTTTCTGAATTGCAACCATTGAAAATTAAGATTGACAATATGCTAAACATTTCAAAAACATACCATGGAACATCTTCCTATATCTACCTCCTATTGACAATGATAGCATTTATTGTGTGTTTGTGTGTCTGTGTGCTCAAGTATTTGCATAATCTTCGTGATCTTTCTTAAACTCGTCATAAATATTCATGTGGAATTATAGTTCTGGTTAGTTTTTATCAAATAACGTTAGATATATCCCTGTAAGGCACACAACTCCAACGGCAGTTGAAATCCTTTGCTTGTACTTTTGACATGGATGAAAAGCGCTCCCTAGTAAAGCGTGATGGAATTACACCTGTCCAGCAGTGCGCTCTCCACCCTGCAGTTATCTATTTAATCGCTAGTGTCTCTCCTGAAAGGTCGTCGTTTTGACATTTGACTACATGTAACTAGGATGTTAAGTTTCGTTTTATACCCTTTTCGTTTTTGCACTATGTGTTGCCATACTTTGTACCATGTACAATTGCCGTGCAATAAAGTACTTCTTCTGTAATGGATTGAGGTGGCAGAACACAGTTTTCGCCCTATTCCTATAGTTAAGCACCCCGAGGTGACTCACTTCGACGCGGTAAAAATTATAGTAGGGTGCACTAGAGAACCATGGCCAACTAATATGTTGAAATATACGATATATTCTACAAAATAACTGAAAACAAAAAAAAAAGTTATGTTTTTTTAACATAATGACGACCACTTTGATTTGGCCCTCTACCGGGGTCAACGGAACTGCAGCCGGCTCACCCTGGAACGTGGTTGCGTAATGCCGCGCATTTATACACGAACAGGGAAATCTTCACAATTCATATGGTGTACAAGCCGATACCTTTCTATACCAAACAGCGCAGTTCATTCATGGCTACCTCTCACATAAGTCGCTCTAGCCAGGATGCAAGAGGTTTGCCTGCACTACTTTCTATACCCGCGTCATAGACCCCCGGGGGTCGCCCATAAATACTGTGTTTTGCGGCCTTTACACATACGACAGAGTACACACGAATGGGGGAGGGGGGCAGGAAATGCCTTCACCATACTAGCACATGTATCTTTCTGTACAAAAACAGGCATATTCAAGGCTTCTAAATACACTTACCATGAATTTCAATCTCCGAAATCTCCTCTCAACTGGATAGCTGAAACATGTCCACTTGCCGCGTCGGTGAAGGTTAGACATCCAGGTAATAATATACATTTATACAGAAACTGTTACTCAAGCAACTGGATATGATTTTGGAAACGGTCAGACGTTTCAGGTAGCATCCACTACCTTTAGTCAGTGACACTGGAGATTGTCAGGCAAATTTGTCTTCACTTATTTGCATATCAACCAATAGTTTGTACTTATAAACCAGCTTCCCATTCCCATGACGCATTGCGCTTGGGGAGGGGTAAAATCTCCCAGGTTGCATAGCGCAGGAAGGCATCCTAGTGTTTTTTGGTATTGGGGCATTTTATGCTCAACATTAATTGACTTACTATGGGTCAAATCTGGCAACAAATAGAGAATGAAGTTTTTGTATTCTTTTTAACATGAAACATGAAGTTTGTAACATTACAGTCCTTTCTACTGACAGACGGTATAGCGTTACCACTGTAAGTTTAAAAACCACCAACCAATCCAAGTCCGAATACAAGAATGTATGTATGTATGTAAGTCCCATAACCGTGAGCGGTCGTAGGGGCATCATGACAGCCAGCAGCATGTCTGGACTTGCGCCATCATGTTTCAGTAGGCTTATAATCTTGGCGGCACCTATCTCCAAGATTTTGGCTGATACAGACGGGGTTCGCCAGGCCTCCGTCCGGGTGAATGATGTAAATCACCATGTGGCTATACAAGGCGGAGGTCGCCAGGCCTCCGTCCGGGTGATTTGAAGTGAATCACCAACTCCATACAGTAGTGTTTGTACCATCGCACACCGGGGGCATGCCCCTACTCTTTTTCGAAAGGTGTGGTGGGATCTTTAACGTGCTCGAGGTGTGGCTCTCCTCAAACACGGGACCTCCAGTTTACGTCCTATCCGAGGGACGTCCCTAACCGAAGCTAGGTACTCATTTGCACCTGAGTGAAGTGAGGAAAGTCGTGTAAAGTGCCTTACCCAAGGGCACAAGATCGGTGCACAAGGTGGGGTTCGAACCCGCGACCTCTGGGGTACAATTGAAACAAACACACAAATGATAAGTCAAAATTGAACGACAATAGCATTTATTTAGCCATTGACTTTAAAAGTAAAGCGTCAAATAGGAAAAGAGTCTTGCAAATACAATTGCTTGAACTGAGCTAACATCATGCCATTTATATTTCTTTGGCACATTTTCTACAACTCGTCTTGCCATGCAAGAATGTAGAACCAAAATCCAAGTTTTGCCTTATTATTAATAATTCTGCAACACTATTGATACCATAAATCAAGTAAAGAACACACGATGAAGTGATGATATTCTATTATAGTACTTCAAATACAATATTAGCGGTTTTCTTACATAATTACTGCAACAAACAAAACAAGTACTAATCTTATGTTTACAATAATACAATGTATAGATGTGAAAAAAACATTGCAAAATAACTGCTCATTTCTATCCATTGATAGTCTTGAGTTTTTTAAAAAGACTACAATATAACAAATGTTTATGTAATCTATTCTCAGATATCAACAATGTGTAAGATAGAGCGAGCTGTGCAATGTATTCAAGAGCATATCTTATAGTATATTCTATAAAACACGTTATTCAGCAAGCCATAATATTAATATCGCTGACGGCTTCATATTAAAACAGTATAATGCAAACTACAATCAGAACACAGTGTTCTGTTATAAAAGATTGTTGTAATTTTTACGTTGAAATCTTATTAAAACCTATTATTATTAAAAAACGTGACCGCATCTTACTTAACATAGACAATATAATTGCTGATGTACGTGATTCTTCTAAACATCATAAAAACTATTCACAATGGTTAAAAACTTTAGTTACCATTCTCTGTTGTTTTTACGGGTGGTTTGTTTTCTTTCTCGTTGCTGTGGGTGGTCTGATTGTCGTCTGCTTTCTGTCCGTTGTGGTTGCAGGTCTTCTCTTCTTTGGCTTCGCTCTCTTTGATTTTGGGGGCGACTGGTTCAGCCGGCTTGGTGGTGTCATCGTCAGACCCACCTAGGAGTAAAATGGTGTTAGAAATAAGATAAAAGCAAAATATACTACAGTGTACCTACTACGGAATTCATACGAATTTTACGAAATACATACGAATTTTAACGGAATACATACGGATTTTAACGGAATACATACGAATTTTACGGAATTCATACGAATTTTACGGAATTCATACGAATTTTACGGAATTCATACGAATTTTACGGAATTCATACAAATTTTACGAAATACATACGATTCATTACTCGGAATTCATTACTAATTTGGTGACCTGCTCCTGTATCACCAAATTAGTAAGGATCGTATGTTTCCAAATAGTGGATTGTATGTATTCTGTAAAATTTGTTCGTTTCTGGTAATGGATCGGATGCAATGTATTCCGTAAAATTCGTATGTTTCTGGTAATGGATCGGAAGTATTTCGTAAAATTCGTATGGAGTCCGTAAAATTCGTATGAATTCCGGAAAATTCGTATGAATTCCGGAACATTCGTATGAATTTTGTAAAATTCGTATGAATTCTTTGGCACCCCTGGTGTAGGGACATGGATAATGCATTCAGCAGATTTGATACAGGTATACCCGTTTGATCTCTTTCATAATGTTGTACTGGATTGCTGTGACTACTGTACTGAAAAGTGCCCGGAAGTGACGTCATAAAATGTTGTCATACAAAGATGGCGGTCAACCGTTAAAAGAAAAGTAGTCAGCCAGTGGGAATAATTGGGAAACAATAACAGATATCACGAGAATCTCAGTCGTACAACAACTCAATGTATATCATAAGTACAGTATATGATTATGTATACCCAGAAAAGATACAACAATATACTACTAGTATTATAAAATAGATAGAAACAAAGGAAATATATTGACAGTATAGTCTACAGATTTCAAGTTGGGAGAATAACCAAGAGACAAACTCGATCCAAACAGGGAAAAAATCCAGAGAAATAAAGATAAAACAGAAGAGAAGAAGAGTCTTACAGGATCAGAAAGGTCTAGTTGTGGAGTGGCAGGGAGTTTTACCGAGCTGTGAAATAAAGGGAGACAGTGAGGTATATATACATGGCAAACAACTTATAAAGAAGATATAGATAGATAGATAGTTGTGTCAATTGTACTACACATATATATCTGTTTTTCGACAATATTTCAAACTCTTCTTGAAGTAAAGAGTTGCGTATTGTCACAGAAAGAACCTACAAAAGACAAAGTGTAGTCTACTTTGTACATGTCAACAAAAAAAAATAAATAAATACAACTATTTTGGAGTAGTTGTGGAAACTAACTCTTTGATCACACGTTATTTTCTTGTTCATTTTCTAGTTGAAAGTTTAACACACCTGCAAATACCATGTGATACGATTCACAGACTAATAGATTGTCATCAGTGTTATATACTAAACACCTGAGAATTTTCTTTGGTCGTTTTATACCAATGCTAGTTTTGTGGAAAGCCCAGTAGTATGACATGGGCGAAAGTTATCTGTTACTATAGTTGTGTTAGATCATTATGTTGGCTTTCCACCATTTTAGATTAATGATTATCCCTTCTTCGAGGATAAAACCACGCTCTGGCTATGATATGATCTAGGTTAGATGTTTCCTGTGACATCCTATCTTACAGTTCGGGGCTCACCCTTAGTCGGAGGTGGCCATTGCTTACGCGCGGCCCCCGGCTGTGGCTCGGTCGGCCGTGGCTCTCCCTGCGACTGCGGTGCCTTGGGCGGGACGGTTTGGGCAGGAGCGGCTTTCCCACCTACATATAACTTCTGCACGGGCACTTTAACCGATGGAGAAGGCGATTTTCCGGCCATCTTTTGTGCTAACTTCTGCTTGGCTAACTGTTGAGCCGTCAGAGGTTTACCGCCGTATTTCAACTCCCAAGCACTGGCGGCTGACTTCTCAGCGGGCTTGGACGACGAGCTCACTTCGGTCGTTTTTGTCACGACTTTCTCACTCGTAGTGGAGGAAGATTTCTTCACGAAATGTCCAGTAGAAGTTGTGGACGTTATTTTTTCGGTCTTAGAAACAACCTGTTCCTTAATAACAGCCTCCGATTTGCCTGGAGGAATTTCGCCTTGTTTTGGTTGCATTCCGACTTGCTTTTGCTTTGGTTGTTGCATACTAGGTTGGACATTGCTATGCTTGGGTTGGTTGCCTGTTGGTTGTTTAACACCGGTGGTTTTCATAGCAGCTGCTTTAGGTTGGGCTGAACGGGGAGGTTGTTGCACAGTTTGCTTGATGTACGAAGACTCTGCTCTGTGCCCCTTGCCTACATACAGTTATAACATGGGTGATATTGTGATGTAGTTTGGAGATGCGGGCGTGTAGGATAGCACAGGCCAGCAATCCCAAACTGGGAGTCTCATGGCGAAGGGGGAGGGGGGTTGGAAACATGCACACACACACACACAAGACACAAGACAGGGAATAAAAGGTATCAATAAACGTACGTAACATACCAGAGGAATCATATCATCACTTCGAATAACTCAAAACAACGTGGTGCTGTGCATGCAAGACTTAGGCCCCATTCCCACTAGCTCGGATAAAATTATCCGGATCGAACCGGATTGATTCGCTCTGATCCGGCTTTGAGCCAGATCGGAACCGGATCGAAGCCGGATCAAACCGAATCTATTCGGCTCGATCCGGATGATTTAATTCTAGTGGGAATGGGGCCTTAGCTATATCACTTCGAGTCGTAAACAGGGTTTCATAGGGTTAGTCTGCCGGTGTAGAACGCTACGGATTGCTGGTGACGTCTTTAATTCTTTGCCAAAGCACTTGTGACAGCCATTTTGCCCACACATGTTGATCTTGAGTCTTGTTACAGTGTTTGAATGGCAGTAGTACGCAGGGATGTACTTACACTGGTCTGTTCGCCAGTCACAGTGAGGCGTGAACGAGAACCGCAGGTTGTGCGTGGGGGAAAGATCACAATATAGAACGACAGAATTAAGCGAAAAGTTGAATGAATGGATGGATGGATGATGAATGAAAGGATGAATGAATGAAGGAAAGAAGGCGACAGAGAGAGAGTTGTGCAGAAAGGCTACACAGCCGCAGGGAGAGAGCACAGACACGAGAAGTGAGACTAGCTAGGCCGTAAGCTTGGTGTTGTTAGCCCGGTCTAGTGCTGGAACGTTACGTGTACTAACTGTTAAGTCGCTCCTAGGTCGCTTCTTGTCAATAGTCTACTTAATTGGACAAAAATGTATCAGTTAACTCCTTCGCGTGGCTGATATAATGTTTTACACCTCAATTCTGATTCAACGTATAAAACATAAACTATTGAGACATGAAAGATAACTATGTAAGAGATAACAACAATCTCACTGCATAATAAAAAAATAACATGTCATGGTAGAAGCTTTGGCAGAATTATACATGGCAAATATGAATATCATACATTTTGGAAGGTAGCTAGCACTAGCTGTAACACCTAGCTTCGGTGCACAGTGAACCAGTCAGAATTGCATTGATGAAGATGACAGACGGTCATCCAAAACGTCAGGTCTTGTTAAACAAGTAGTTGTGAATAATCTCCAAGCAGATTTTTCGATGGGGGTCCGATGGGAAAATGGATACAGGCTGGCCAATTTGATACTGCCTTGCCCCCACCGAAAGATCTGCTTGGAGATTAGTTGTGAATAAAGAACGTTCACTATGAAAGTTCGTCTGTGTTGGTAGTTACATGTTTAAAGTTAAAACTTTTGTTCCAACACAAAAAATTCTCTCACCTAGAGCTTTCGACCAGTCACTCTGGTCTTCCTCAGTAGACTGACCCAGTGAAACTGTGACACGCGACAAGCTTCACTGGGTCAGTCTACTGAGGAAGACCAGAGTGACTGTTCGAAAGCTCTAGGTGAGAGAATTTTTTGTGTTGGAACAAAAGTTTTAACTTTAAACAAAGAACTTTCAATATATATTCAATCAGAAAAACGGTCGCGGAAAATCCTACAAATCTAACGTTACCTTCTATGATGAGCAGAGCGCTACAGAGCGCCATGCCTGAGGTGTTGACGGCCTTACACATGTACTCTCCCTCGTCCTCGGGAAAGGTCTCGGGCAGCTCCAGCACGACGCCGTGGTCACCCTCAAACTTGTACCGGTAGTCCTGGTTGTTCGGCAGCCGCTTCCCGTTCAGGTACCACGTCACGTCAGGTTTGGGCCGGCCGATCACCTTGGCTTCGAACCTAGAACATGAGAAGATTGAGACCCTTGAGAATACGTTTCATAGACGTTTGGGTAGTCCATGGCATGTTCTTGTGTAGGAAATCACAGTTCAACCCTGTTTTATAATGATTTTTAAAAGCGTCCAAAGATATATATGTATTCATATTGGCTTTCAATACCTATGCTTGAATGCCAACTACACTGTTTGTTTATTTGTTTGTTTGTTTGTTTGTTTGTTTGTTTGTTTGTTTAGGATCTCCATTAGAGTGAAAATTCACACTATTCTTCCTTCTTTGTTGTTTGGGGGCCAACAACAACGTGTTGATGACTTTTCCTGGAGTCCTGGTAAAAGTTGTAAATTTTACTGTAAATTGTAACCGTTTATTCTTCAATTACGCTCTATAAAAAGTGGGTTCATAAAAAACGGATGCATACAAATACTTGCATCTGGATGATAAAAATACTAACATCCTTAATTATGAATTATGAATTTGAAATTTGCACGGTAAAACTTACCTGACGGGGTCGCCATCGTAGATCGTCATGTTCTCGAAGTTCTTGACGAACTTGGGCGCCAGGGTCTCACTGGTGGCGGACAGGGACTCGTCCTCCTCGGAGTCGTCCACGTCCGACGCCTCGCCCCGGGCGTACCGCTCCATGTACTCCCGCTCACGGGCCTCCTCCTCCCGCTTCAGCTCCTCCTGCGGCCCGGGGGGTTTGTTTTCATTGTTAGCAATGTGATCGATGAAGAGGTTCAGTTACGATACGTAAGATTAACAGTTAGGCCATGTTGATTTGATTATATGGATGACATCCGCGCGCGCATGAATTTTCGGCCGTTTCAAAAAAAAAAAGAAAGTTTTCAACCATACTGTAAATCGTACAAAACAGTTGCAAAATGAGCAAAAATATACCATAAGTTACAAAAAAAATTAATAAAAACTATACCAATGTCGTAGAATGCCAAAATCAAACGAAAAAAGACGAAATTGTAAAGAAATGAACTTGAAGACTAGATTATTCGCCAAACCATATTCTGTGCCATTTGCTCAACCCTCATGACCACGTAGATTTCATAATGAAAAGAACTTTTTTTTTTTTGTCAAAACTTTTTTTTTTATTCGCACGCGCGCATCAGTTTTGGGGCTCCCGGAGGATGTCATCCATATAATCAAATCAACATGGCCTTAGTAGAACATTCATCAATTAGTGACTGTTCTAAAAGGTAGAAACACGTAACCTCCAAATTTCCGTGATCAAGATGTACAGTAGACATCGAAAATACGCCTAGAAGTTCGTAATAACAGGTCTATTTTGAATAAACATAAACATACTAAACATTAGACAGATTTTAAGAAAGAAAGAGTTCAGTGAACAGGACCAAAAATATTTACAGAAACACACCGTATGTAGGAAAAAAAATACGATGTAAAATACTACAACTTTAAATTTAAAGGGATTACTCATTACTGTGATAGATATGAAAACTTAAAGTGTGTTATGTACTCACAGGTCGGCACGTGGGGAATACAACAGAAAAAAATACAATTATTAGAAAGACAAGAAAATATACAAAGTTGTTAAAGTACGGTAGAAACGAGTGAGTGATGTCACATTGAAGGTATTGTTGGTCCTTGATTTAGTCAATTATTCGGAGAAATTTTAGTTGTTTTAAACAGCTCAGAAGAAAGAACAGCAGGAATATCACACTGTAGAAAAAATACTTCCTTTCGCAGAAATTATTGTAAATTACTCGGAAGTTCTGATAGCGAAAATCAAATAAACGGTTTATTTTCTTAGGTATAAGTTATGTTATTAGGCCGAAAGAGATTTTTGCGTCAGATCAGAAAATGATTCAACGACCTCCTTGGTAGGCGGAAATGACATCACTCACCGTTTCTGTGACGTCAGCAGCCCCACCCACCTCCTTCCGGCGCGCTTCGTCAATCTCCCGCTGTTCCAGCATCAGCCGCTTCCGCTTCTCCTCCTCAATGCGCCTGCGCCGCTCCTGCTCTTCATAGCTCTACAAACAAGAAACACACATCAGGGCCCTTCACTCAACCGCGACGGGGGCCGACATCATCTACCAGATACCTTTGACCCAGTGCTGACGTTCAAAGAAGCCATGTGACAAGAGTCACTGGGTCAGTCTACTGAGGAAGACCAAAGTACTGGGTGAGAGAACTTTATTTTTATTGTGTTGGATTTTAACTTTAAACAAACAAGAAACACGTTTATCATGAAAGTTCCTCTGTGTTGGTAGTAATCAGTTAACGGAGAAGAGATTTTTTTATGATTTATTAGCAGCATAGGAGACATAGGATACCGGTACCCACCTCTACATTTACAAGCACGGGTTGCCAAGGAAAGTATTATCTTTTAGTATGTTTATCAATTGTGGATTCAAAAATGTTACCATAATAGTCAGAAAAATTCATAAAATCTAAAAATATATGAAACTAAACATCATGTAAGTCAGAAACAATAGTCAAAAACTTTTTCGTCGGTTGCTTAAAAATTATCATTTTTGCGATGCGTCTAGAGATATGAGATGACAAACCTCGAGATTCTCAAAACGTGAGAACAGGGCCCGTGTTCTCTGCTTCCTCGCCGCTCGGTCCTCATCAGTCTCCGCCGCTTTAGGCTCCTCCTCCTCCTCCTCCTGAGCCTCTTCAGCAGCCTCCTCCTCCAGCTGTGATGGAAAGTCCGGTTAGTGATTTGACAAACATCAGAATCTATCTTTTGGATAATACAAGGACGATAGGCAGAGAAAAGGACAGAATGAAGCAACAATGTGAACGCAGTGAAACGAATAGCACTGTATGTACAGTATACAGGAATGAAAACATACAGCATTGAAGGTTTCGTTCCCATCCTATGCAGATTTGATCTAACTATATGCGATCAAAACGAGCTTTGCTAAATTTGATGTTTGCAAATCGCTCCAATATCTACTGCATATTAACAGGAAATTTTCTCCAGCTTCTAAAGGCATGGGTGAATCTGAGTAGGATGGAAACGATATTGAGTAGACAAAAAGGAGGAAGGAAAGAGCACTTTGGGGTAGAAAGAACGCACGTGAGTATGTTAGGAGATGTACAACAACTGACGACAAAAGGTACATCATTGGGTATGGTGTGAACAAACTTGGTTAGTGTTTTAGCGTTAAGTTTTTAGTGTGACCATGGAACAATAACACTCTCTGTTATAGCTCCATGGTGTAACTGCATCAACATTATGAATTATTGGGAAGTCCACAAATGAAATGGAAACATAAAGTTTGGAGAAATGGGCGCACGGCGCCATCTAGCGAGTTGAATTCTGTCTGCAGGCAGAGAACAGAAGGGGGAGGGGGGAAATGTAACAACACACCCCGACCATTTTCTCGGTTCTCTCCAGTTCCCTGGCCAGCATCTCCCGGTCCATCTCCAGACGCCGCGCCCGCTCCTCCTCAACCTTACGGAGACGTTCCTCCTCTGCAACCTGCAGGACAAAAAAAGCATCTCATAAAGACTCCTTTCTTAACTAGAAAGGTATAATTTGCCATGAAAATGAATATGGTCTGCTCCGTTAATTCTTACTCAAACACATTCATATATGTGGTCAGACAGGAATCTAAATCCCTCCTGCTATAAAATTGCAACATGATGTAACCCAACACCAGTCACTATGGTGACAGACGTCTGGTTCATATAATTGATCTTATTGGTTTGGAAGAAGTGGAAACAGAGCAAAAACAATATGTTTCCTTCGGTAAACATAATTAAGAAACTCAACCTTGTACAGTACTTGTACAGGTATGCTGATTGTTTTAACAACTAGAAATGTCACAATCCGCGTATACCTCGTTTTAAACAATGTCTATGAGTCATTGTCATCCTAGCTATATGTAAAGTTCTACATCTCTTTCTACAAAGGGACTACATAGTTACCTTGTCGATATTTTGGAATTTCTCGAAGAGCGCGCTGGCACGTTTGTTCTTTCCAGCCTCCTTCACATCTGCGGCCTTGAGTTTGCGTTGTTCCTCTTCTTCTTCCTTCTTCTTCTGCATCATGGCAAATCTAAAATATTGAAATATTTTATGAAAAAAAGGAACTCTTGTTGTAAATCGTTACAACCAAAAAGATGCAGGTTATTTCTTTTAAATTTTCCATAACATACACCACCAGTTCAATCTCTCTACTTTGTTCCTACTTTCCACAACAGAGCCAACAACAAACTGCTTCTCAGAATTTGTTTCTAGGTGGCACCAACCTTTCCTTTACGCTGAGACGAGGCCCAGATTCCTCAGGCGCAGATTCGGCTGGCTCTTCTCCCTCCTGGTCTCCTCCCTCCGAAGCAGCAGCGGCCGCAGCAGCCTCCTATCAAGACCACACATGTACAGAGCTCAAGCAACAAGATCATCCCTTTTCGTACCTTTATACACTGTGTATATGTGTAAACAATCCTATAACTATAGTTTGTGGGATGTTTTCTTTTAATTAAGTTAAATTGAACTGAATTGTTGAAAATAAGAAAAGCAGATGCATTGGGAAGTTTAGACAAGAAAGCTCGATCCTCAAGAAGAGTTTTGAGAGAGGAAAAGAAGAAGACAAGGCAGGGACGACAGTTCACCTCTGCCTCAAGTCTTGCCCGCTCCTCCTCCAGCTGTTGTCTGTCCTCCTCCAGTTTTCTCTTTCTCTCCTCCTCCGCCTCCCTTCTAGCCTCCTCCTCCTTCTGCCTCGCCATCTGCTCAAAACTGATGGTCAGCTTCCCTGGCCTCGGCGCCTTCTCCGCGCCTGTATCGTTGTCTTGGTCCTCTGAACCCTTTTTCTGAAGTTCCTCAAACTTATTCTTAAGTTTCCCGGGTCTAGCCTTCTCCCTTGTCGAGGCGTCGTCTTCGGAAGTTTCTTTCTTCTTTTGAAGTTCGGCAAATTTGTTCTTAAGCTTCCCCAGAGATACCTTGGGCGAGGTGACTTCCTGTATGGATTCTTTTGTCGTCTCCTCGTCCTGTTCTTCGGCAGGCTGCTCGGCTTGTTTCTCCGTTTCCTGCGTCAACAGGAAGTCGAGTCAAAATATGCCAATTCGGTAAAAAAAAACTTTTGTAAATACGTTCAATATGATTTTATCTTCTGCATAACCATTATCAAGAACTAACATACGCATGGGGCTCCTGCACATTCATGGATAAAAATCCCTTGCTTGCTTGGTACAATTCAAGACACTTCTTTACTGTTCATGCTTCCTTTAAGATCACATACTAGTAATTATGTTTACACTCAAAGAAATGCAATGTCTTTATGCCCTTCTTCATATAGTCAAAAGTGTCCATGAGAAAAAAAAGGGTTTGTGGTCATTGACACTATAGACGCTGGTACATCTGACAGGCAGATTCCACCTCATGCTTTCCTGTAGTTGTCACAGGTCAATCAACGATGCTGAATTGAGACAGGCATGGGCATCCATTCCATCAAAGGTCATTCAGAGAAAATGCATTGCTGCGTTTGACTATTAAAATGCATTGTTGTTTTTAGCTATGTGTCTAGAATATAAAACCTCTCGTAATCTTTCCGCCTCTCTCTCGAGCTCCGCGCGGTCGAATTCTAATCTACTTTTCCGGAGCTCCTCCGCTTTTCTTCTATCCTCCACCTCTTTTCTCTGCCGTAGCGTGACGTAGTCAGCCTTTAGTTTACCCGGCGTTCTTCTCTCTCGCTTGGTCTCGCGAGTTTCTGCGAGACTTTCCTCTGCCGCTCCTCCCTGGTGTGTACAGGTTAGCTTCGTCACTTTGTGCGTAATGTCACGCGAAGGAAATAGCGCCTTCGGCGGAACAGTTTTCCGTATTTTTACTACCTGTAATGTCTTGCTTCCAAACGACACATTTTTGCAGCTCGCCTATCGAAGAGAACAAGGATAAAAGCCATATGCGACGGCTCTGATATCATTAACATGATCTTCTCACGCCAATACAGGTTAACCTTAGGCAAAACCAGCAACAACATATCTCAGATCTTTTTATATATACGTTACATTTTCATATCTCATTGCTGAAATATTAAGGCAAGCACATAATTTGGCTTCAGTGACTTTACTCCCCCCTCAAACATATTAATATTCCTTTCATTCAGTTGCAAAACGATTATAATCTAGCCGACCTCATACTCAGCCTCTCTTTTGGCCGCTTCTTCTGCCAAGATCTTCTTCTCATCCTCAAGTCTGCGAAGACGTTCTTCCTCTGCCTTTTTGCGAGCCTCCTCTTCCTTCTGACGCTGCATCACTTCGAATTTCCCGCGAAGACTCCCCCGTTTGGGTGGTGGTATGTCCTCTTTGACTTCCGGTTTATCCTCAGCCTCTTCCTCATTGGCCTGCTGAAGAGATTAGTCAAGCCAATCAGAGAAGCTCTAGGTTATGACATAGCCCTACCCGCTGATGTGTCGTGTATATGTATGTGCAAACGCATGCATCTGTTTCATGAAGAAGCGATGACTGTACTGTACTTGATTCCGTGTCAGAAAGCCTCTGCCAAGGCAAACATCATGGTCATGAGATGCAAAGAAGCAGACAGGACGAAACTTGCAGCAACAAGGGAAAAAGAGAAATGGTCAGATGCAAAGCAAGCTTACTCTTTGTATGTACTCTAATCACTCTATCATGTACATACGCATCACACATTACAAGGCACCAAAACTGGCCAGGGCGCCACAATTGTGGTCTATGGGGTCTAGGACTATTCCCTTGTAGGCAGACAATCGCAAAAGTAGTTGGCATGCCAGGAAAAAAACAAACGCGTAGAACAAGACCGTCCGGAGGTATCATTCACCGAAGCTGACTCTTGCTGTGCCTGTTTTTCAAGCTCGCGCTCCTGTGCCAATCTGTCGGCCTCCAGTCTCCTCAGTCTCTCCTCTTCAGCCTTCCGTCGACTCTCTTCTTCTCGAACCTTCCTGAGCTCTTCGAACCGACCCTTGACACTGCCCATGGGTTTTTCGGGCTCGCAACTCAAATCTTCTAACGAACCCGCGAGCTCGTCTTCTTCTTCCTAAGTGTGTGAGATGAGTACGGAAAAGATGCAAACAAACATATAGTGGTGTTATGGTTATGGTTATGTGAACATATGCGAGGGTATGGGGGGGGGTCGGGTCGTGAAACAAAACCGTACACAAATTTACGCAAACAATGGCATAAAAACATAAACAAGGAGGGGTGATATGAAAGAGGACCAGGATGATCAACAGGGAAAAACGGAACGAAAAGGGGGTTTTACCAAGCAGAAAGTAAAAATGGGAACAATCAAAAGTCCAAAATATGAGTAAATAAAATACAAAATTTCTTGATTTTTTTTTTAATTTTCGCAAACTCATGCACTGCTGTTTCCGGAAATTCTAGCCAAAGCCATAGCAAATGATATAAAGAAAAATTAAAAAAAGATTCTCATGCTTAACATAATAAAAGCAAATAATTTTTGTAAAAAAAAAGGACAGGTGACGAAAACCTCTTTTTTCCTATTCCTCTCTTTCTCGCGTTCCTGCATCATTTTGTCGAACTCGAGTCGACTCAACTGAAGCTCCTGCGCTTTTCTTTGTGTCTCTGCGGTGCTGTTTTTGATTTGGTGGAGCCTATCTTTGACACTTGGGACGGGCTCACTTATGTCAAGGGAGGGGCTACCTTCGGAGGGACTGTCATCATTGTCATCCTGGTGAATGACAGATGGAGGGATGGAGGGACAGAAAAAAGGAAGTGCGCGACGTTAACTACAGCAAGTAAACAAAAAAAACAAGGAAAACACAAATTTATACCGATTTGAGCTGTGATAGCTACAGTGCATTACAAGTAGTACCGGATTTAGTGAGCAAGAAATATTTCTGTTACTGCTTATAAGAAACATTTAAGAAAAGACAAACCAAGAAAAAAGACTACACACTCCAAAACATCACATATTACTGGGGTAGAGGAAGGCAACAGTAGAGATCACACCACTCAAGTTTTGAAGGAACAAATGACTAGACAAACATTACAAATCTTGGGGAGATTATATATTCTCTTAACATTATTTTTAGGTGGTTATGCACACCAAGAAAAATCTTAATGATTAGAACAAACAGTGGTTGTGTCATCTTGAAATCATGAATCTTTTCCGGCTGCCTTCAAAACTTGAGTTTGCTGGGAAGATGATGCGATCACCAAACGTGAAGGAAAAGAAGAGGATGTGATTACATCGCAAGGCACCTCATCCTTTTCCTTGCGCTCTTTCTCTCTCTCCTGCGCTATTTTGTCGAGCTCAAGTCGGCCGAGACGGATTTCTTGTGTTTTTCTTCTTTCCGCCTCTTCTCTCTTTTTCCTCATCTCCTCAAACCGGTTCTTGACGTCGAGTTTTCGGGGTTTTGTCGTTTCGTTGGTGTCGTTTACTTCGTTCTCTTCCTCTTTATCCTGCGCATATAATGATGTAATTGTGTGATTAAATCTACACTTTTCTGTGGGACTTGTTCTACTGCTGCACTTTAAGTTGATTGCCTTCAAGTCAATTCAAGCCTACGTTACTGTAAAAAAAGCTTGCAACCAGTCAAACTGGGCCATCTAAGGGAAGGAGAGCAAATTTGAATGTTTAATAACTGTGCTCACCATGACATGAGAGGAAAGCATTGTGAAATTAATATTGAGTAAATCTATCAACATTATGTTGCAAAATTCATGAAATCATCTTTCCTCTTTTGCCATGTTTCACACTGTTTTGGAGGTATCTGCAATAAAAAGCATTACGTTACCATTAGGTCAGGGCTATATGGCCTAAGCAATAGATCAAAAAACTAATCTACAAGTTCTGAAGCGCAGTATGGTAAAAATGAGCCACCTTCCCGGTATCCCGTATGAACGTATCCAGCTTTTTTAGTCGTCTGACTCGTGGTTCAGCCGTGGTTCTGGGTTTGTCCTTTGCTGATGCCGTCAGTGCTTCGAACCGACTTTTCATACTGCCGCATGTACCCGGCTGGGGGGCACCGGATTCTCCGTCCGCGTCACTGATAAACGATGACGTCAGGGATGACGTCACGGAAGCACTATCGCCATCTTCCTCCTCGTCCTGCAATATTCAATATATTTTGACTAAAAGTGGTAGTTTTGAGAAATGTCCAACCGTCGGAACGTTTGGGGAATGGGACTGTGAAATAAAGCAAAGGACAATTGCAAACGCACGGGTATCACCTCTACTTGCGAGGTCTTCTTCTCCTGCTCTCGCTGCTGCATCATCTTATCGAACTCTATACGGCTAATCCGTATCTCCTGTGTCTTACGCCTCGCCTCCTCCTCTCGCCGCTTTCTCAGGTTCTCAAAACGACCTTTCACGTCGCCCCTCGGCCTGTTTCTAAGCGTGATTGTCTCGCTTGACGTGTAGGTTTTTTCGTCTTCTTCCTGCTGATGGTGGGAATGCCCGTTGATGCCGTTAACCTGTAGGACACCCATACCATTAACGATAAACTGCTTATTAGACCAACTGCAATACATAATGGGGTACGCCTAAGTACTACAGAAAGGGAAGATAGTAAATGTTGGCTCTAACAGAAGGGAACCTACAGTGCAACTAGCGGAAGGAGGGAGGGGTTAACCTGATCAACGTTGACCGTCTCTGATTGGTTCTCTATTGCCTGTTTCTCCATCTGCAGCCGGCTGGTTCTTTCCAGTTCTAACTGCCGCCGATGCTCCTCGTCTCGAGCTTTCTGCATCTCCTCGTAACGACCCTTAACACTGCCGATCTTTTTGGTGAGTCTGGGGGACATGTCAAGGCCGTTCTCTTCGGGCTCTTCTTCGACATCTTCTTCCTGAAGCAAGGGACAGAAAGGGGCGGGTCATTTCTACATTCGGAGAACGAAGCACTTCAAAACCAACAGAGAGGGCAATGTCCATGAGCACATTCCTTACTTGCTCACTTATCTGAATTACTTTGGCCACCAAGGATAAATTGCTCAACGTACTAGCTATATTCAAGACACCAAGAGCAGGGAAAAGGCCAAGATTCTAAATCTAAAAGGGGGCAGAAAGCTAACCTCGGCTTTTGAAAACGCAGCCTCAATGGACAGACGAAGGGACTCAGTTTCAGCCTGAATGCGCTGTTGTCTCTCCTCCTCCATCTGCCGTAACCGTTCCTCTTCTTTGGCTTTTCTCATAGCTTCGAATTTCCCCTTCACACCTCCGCGTGTGACTGTTGGAATGTCGGTAACCGTTGGCTGGAATCTAGCGCTGCTACTGGCGTCACCATCCGATTCCTACATGGCATGGAAGCTTGTATTCAGACTAGCTAGAGGTTGAAAAGGCTGATAACTGGTGGATAGACAAGTCATTGGAATGATAATGAAGAGAAAAGTGGCCATCTTTCAGCACGAGTTGGCAAAGGTCCTTTCGAAGAAGAGTGGTAGATTCGCGAGGTAGAAACTCTCCGAGGTTGTCTCTTGTAGCGCCATCAAAATAGGCACGATTTTTAGATGCATTTTATGACCCTTACTTCACAAATACATGTGGTTTCTTAGTATCTTAGTGTGTATTTACTATTCAGACTATCAAACTATAAACTATAAAGAAAGAAAAGAACTACGACGGTTTTGTGTTGAGAGTACATGCGTTTATTCACACTGTGGATGTTCTATACAATTGAGAAATGCTTCCTACTCTACTGATACTCTACTGATGATTATGACTCTTTTTAGATAGGTGTCTTTAAGATATCGACAAAAACGGCAATGGCAGCGACAACACAGATGACGTGCAGTTGCAAACAAGAGACAATCTCGGGAGAGAGACAGAGTGGACTGGTCTAACATCACAGGAAGCAGACAGTGGCAATAAGTGACAACATACAACAACTACAACAAGGACACAATGGCGGTTGACAATCATAGCATCAAAGAGGTGTGTACATGTTTGCTATACTACATACATTGTACTTTCTTATTTTGGGTCTTCCATGGTAAAGTTTCTTTGGCTTGTTGGAGGACACATTTCAATTCCAGGGTATACCTAAAGATACCAATTGCACATAATCTCCTAGAGCGATGGTTTACAACCTTTATGTAAATATCTTGATGAAATACGACAAAAGAGAGCCCAAAGATTGAAATGAGAAAATAGAGGATTCGCAGTAAGACAGATGATGCTATGAAGCGAAAGCTTGAGTCAAGTAAAAGAGTTTGAAGTGGAAGCAATAGAAGACTGCGTAGTGTGTATTTGTGTCTTGCTATAGTCTTTGTATTTACCAATAAGTAACGCGTTGTTCGTTAAACCAAGCGTGTATCACTTACCTTGTCCCCTGCACGTGTTGCATGTTAATAATAGATAGACATGGATTACGGTGAAATCTTTAACTACATCAACAAATCAGAAAACTGTACATGTAAGAAATAATGTTAACCTTGCCTTGATAACACGGGTTAGATCAATGATGTTGTGATTGTACCATAATCAATTGACTGTTATCATGAAAGTTCATCTGTGTTGGTAGTAATCATAGTAAAAACGTTAAACTTTATTCCAACACACTATTTACAGGGATCAAATTTTCAGCGACCACTGTCGCCTTCATCAGGATAATTAATGACCAATCACTTCACAACGTGATCTCGCGAGAGTTACGGTTTACAAACACGGTTAGGGAGAGTTACGGTTTGATCAATTGCTTACGTCACGTATCAGTAAAGTCTCGTGTGAATAAGGTCACGTGTTTGTAAACCGTAACTCTCGCGAGATCACGTTGTGAAGTGATTGGTCATTAATTATCCTGATGAAGGCGACAGTGGTCGATGAAAATTTGATCCCTGTAAATAGTGTGTTGGAATAAAGTTTAACGTTTTTACTATGATCAATTGACTGTGTTCTCCTAAATGTGTCGTTAGTAAGTATAGACTATCAATGATTATAATGTACGGTATTGATCAGATCGCTGTGTTGAAATATGTGTAAAGGCAAACATAGACGAGATGAACTCTGTCTATAAAGGACTAGGCTCACCGATACCTCCTGCTCTTCCGCCTTGCGTGCAGCCTCCCTCTCCAGCTGTAGCTTGTCCATCTCGATTCTGCGCAGTCGCTCCTCCTCGGCACGCATGCGCGCCTCCTCCTCCTTCTGTTTCTGGATCTCCTCGAACTTGCCCTTGAGGTCGAATAAGACAGTATTCATTTGTTTATTTGTTTATTTTGATTTTTCACAAAGTGAAAGGGAGGGCAAAACAGGTGCATACGCACATTTACAAGTTGCCCTCCCCCATACAAAAAACACATATACAACATCAAAATTTACATAGTCAATGACAACAAGTATGGACAAACCCCGTTGTCAAAAGTAGTTCTGGCACAAAGTAGTGCGGCACAGTACTTGAGAAAGCTGCCGAGATTCTGTCGTGTAGGACAGCGAGGTGAAAACTATGCTGAATTGTAGAGGAATACATCGGGTTTGATACCGTGTAATTTGTTTGTTAGGCCGGGGCGGGGTCGATTGGTGCCTGAAAGCGCCAAACAAAAGTGCTTTATGGAAAAACGAGCCGGCAAACTTAAGCTGATTTTCACATATTTTCTAGGGTGTACCCTCAACCCAAACATATTAAATTTTTGTAACTTGCTTGTGCACCCTACTATAAATTTCATGGCGTCGAACCTTCTCACTTTGGGCCCCTTAACTATATAAATCCCCATAGGGTGAAAACTGTGTACGCTACCTTGATGCTGCGCCTCTCCCCGGCCGGCAGGTCGGACGGTGTGACGGGCGGGGCGGCAGACGGAACACCCGTGGGCGTCTCCATCTTCTCAAACATTTCCTGTGGGAAGCGGAAGAGTACTTATAACTACTAGAATGTTTACCGAAGGAAAACATATTGTTTTTGTTCGGTTTCTTCTTCTCCAAACAGGGACCTCTGACCTGCTCAACCTGTTCTAATCTGTCACCATGCTCACTGGTGTTGGGTTACATAATGTTGCAATTTTATTGAAGGAGGGATTTAGACTCCTGTCACCATATATGTGAATGTGTTTCAGTACGAATTAACAGGGCAGACCATATGCGAATGTAAACATAATGCATTTGCTTTGCAAATGTAACCTTTCTATTTCAAAATTTGTTTCATGTCTTATCAAAGTGTACATGGATTAGTATTGAACTTTGATGTTGTAGATTTGAAAGGAATCAAATTACATTTTGAAACTAAGTGACGTTTCAACGTACAGAATATACTTATTGTGCATACAAATATCAAATATCTTTCTTTGCTAAAGAACAACGTTTTTGATACAGTATATCCACTTTGAATTATACGGTATATAACAAGTACACCACCTAATTACCTGACATCTTACATAAAAGTACGGGCTATGCCTTTCTTTCGTAAGATATTTCAACCAACACAAATACGCCACTCTTCAGATATGAATACAAGCTAGAAGAACTATCACTACATGTCCTTGTATGGACCACTCTACAGTCTCACCCACCCCATCTCGTGCTGCGTCACTTGAGTCCGACTGAAAAAGTTCATCACACAAATGTGTTACCATGCATGGGGAAATATTCACATAATCTCGAAAAAGAATGATGAAAGATATTGTATACATCTCTGAATAGAATACCATCCGTATTTTGGCGTATTACGCACAAAATCATATATAAAAATCAACATTAATCTGGTACAAATAAACTGTACTGATTCGTGATGTTGGTATCTTAGAAACAGTTTGCCAATGATGATTAGTTGGGCTGTTTAGAGCTTAAGGACAAGATTCAAATTTATAAAAGAACAGAGAATGATGCAAATGACATCGCGAATTATCAATGCCAAATTTTGATTTGCCTTAGTGTGGAACAGTTGAAAACATGGCCAGAGAAGTGAAGACGTTAGATAAGAAGATTCCCGTAAACGTGAATCATTGATTACATAGCATGGATAGCATTTTTAATCATGGTGACGAGTTGGTGGGTGAGACTGCAATGTTTATGTTAAGAATTATGTGAGAAGTTAGGCAAGATTTTTCTCTTTCCAAAAGTACCTCCTCCATCTGTTTTGAGATCATGCTCTCCTGTTCCTGTTGCTGAATCTGTCGGTCCATCTCAATTCTCCTCTTTCTCTCCTCTTCCGCCCTCCTGCGTTCTTCTTCCTCCTGCGAGTTGATCAGGAAAAAAGTTAACATTCTATTGTACATAGTAAAATGTTGAACTTTATTTCAACACAAGGGTTACACAGAGATCAAATTTTCGACATCCACTGCCGCCTTTATCAGGATAATTAATGACCAATCACTTCAAAACGTAATCTCGCGAGAGTTACGGTTACAGACACGTGACCTTATTCACGCGAGACTTTACGGATATGGATTTGATCTCTTTGTAATCATTGTCTATTGCTGTGTTCAACATTTTACTATGACCACTACCAACACAGATGAACTTTCAGGATAATTGTATTGTATGATATAGGACATCTAAAATAATCATGTTCCAATTGGTCTTAAATAATCAGGGAATATTTTACGCTCCATTTCCACGTTTCATCCTTCAATCGCGATCAATCAATCGCGATCAGACGATTTTCCATTTTGTTATTGAAATACACATCTTCTCTACACATGCGGTACCGTTAAGTACCAGAAACACAAGAAACGGCTAGCCTGGATGCCAGACCCATAGAACGCTAGGCCCAGAGTTAGCCTGGATCAGGGCTTAACTGAGGGGGCACGTTAGCCCAGGGGCACGTTAGCCCAGGGGCCGAGGAACTGGCATATCTGTAGGCCCTGGAAACCGTCTGGCACCCAGGCTACAAGAGAACTGATTTTGAACCTTTTGTTTCTGCATCTCTTCAAACTTCCCCCGCACGCTGCCCCGCATCTTCGGGACGTAACTCTTCGGCGTTTCCTTCGGCTTCTTCTCTTCTTCCTCCTCGTCTGAGTCCATCAGCTCCTAAAGAATCCAACACTCAAGTCATTAAATGTTGAAGTGGCGCAACTTGTTTCTAGCTACAACAGAACCTCTGAATTCAACACTGAACAGATGTCAGCAACATGCCCACTGCATTTTCAACTCCGTCTCTAGTCTAAGGAGAAATATGTTCATCAGAGCATGCTGGCAAACCTAAAGACATCAAACAGTGTCCAAAGAAATAGCTTAGTAAACACAGTACCATAGAGGTATCTCCACGTCTCTTCATAGACAGAGTAATAAAGAAGACTATTCACCAATTTCACACTTCCCATATTGCCTAGTAAAGATCACGGATATGACGTAAGAAGGGGATATACGTAATGCGACCGTGCGAGTAGGAGAGTTTTCGGTAGAAGGTGGAACGATAGAAGGTACGTCATTTTCTCTAATTCCACCAAAAATGCAATAATGGCATGCCCTTTATACTAGATAAATAATTCAAAACAATAGTTGATCAGTTTGTCGATAGAAATATTACATCGAGGAAGGGGGAGGGGTGGTCTTACGTCATATCCGTGATCTTTACTAGGCATTATGGGAAGTGTGAAATTGGTGAATTGGTAAATATGCATACAACTAGTTCTTTGTCGGTCAGTCCTTAACAGAATTGAAAAAGAACCACTCTTACGACAAGAACCGATTACACAAGCTAAATCAAATCAAGCAAATACATTGACAATTCAAAACAGAAGTTGAATACACGTACTCAAGACATTAAACAAAGACAAAAAAGTTCAGAAAAGAGTTGCAGGCGACAGTAAACAATAGCGAATGCGACAAAGACCTTAAGGAATTGTTTTCTAAGTGCTGAGTGTTTCTCCCGCTGGTCTCTCGACTCTCTCTCCTTGCGAACTTCTTCGAATTTCTTGGCCTCCTTCTCTTCCTTCCTGACTCTCATCTGTTCGAATCGCTCCTTTACGTTCACATTGGCGAACTTAGGAACGTAGGAGGCAGACGTTTCAGACTCCTGCAAGGTTGGAATAACGTTGGGCAAACAATTAAACAAAGGACGCGTTATACAAATAACGACAACAAAACAAGACAAAGACTCCAAGAAAAGTAGAAGAAAGAAAGAACACAAAAGATTTTGACACACAAAATAGAAACGTGTATTGGTATATAGTATGTCATGGCTGTATCAGTACACCTACTGACCCACTTTGAAATACCTTAACATATAGCACTTTTATGAGGCATATATTATTTTGAATACTACTAATACATTGTACAAATATGGTTCGCCGTTTGAAGGGGGGTATTGGGTAACCAGTACATTTAGTGTTCAAACGTGTCTTGGTATTTAAAGAAATGTATATATTAAGGCCACACCAATTTAATTTGTTGGTTCTTGGATTCGCCTCTTCATTTTTTTTCTGATTTGCAAAAAAAAAAAAAAGATTCTGGTTCTGAATCAACTGAAATATTTTGTCCCCAACAGTTGAGGAAAGTCCTTTTCTTTCTACTTCTTACAGTTTTTCCATTTATCAATACGGTGGTTTGATTAAAAGTTCAAAATTCATTGTTTAAATATTAACCCAGCCTTTTTTGTTGACTTCATGGCTCCTATCGTAGCGTTTGGGGCTATAATAGGATGCCTAAACCTGTTTTTTTTCGCCATGTCGCTTCATATTTTTTTCTGAAAACATCCGAGAACCAACAAATTAAATTGGTGTTGCCTAATGGCAGGTGATAGACACAGCCATGACTAACGTTGAAATCTGACGTTACTGACATTTTACTACACGGTACTGTGACGTTACCTTCTTGGGCTGATGGACAACCTTAGCAGCAGAACGGGGCAACTGAACCTTGGTAAGACCAGGTACGATCGGGTCCTAGTAACATTTAGCAAAGATATTAACTTTACTATCGATTACCATACGTATTTCAATACCTTAACAAACGGTAAAGTTGTACTGAAAACTTGTACCCGTTGTTGTTTGAATTGAAAATATTTTTGTTGTCTACTCTCAGAGTATGCATGCTTTAGCAGGCAGATATCTTGACACATACAAATACATGCTGTAGTCATCTTAATGGCCGAATGAATATATGAGTGAATGAATGAATGAATTTCAAATAAATGAATGAATGACCGAATGAATGAATGAATGATGAATGAATGGCTCTCCTAAAGAGGAATGAATGAATGAATGAATGAATGAATGAATGAATGTAAAATGAATGGAGGAATGAATGAGTTATAGATAATAACTTTTTAAAGGATATAATAATAGCAAAGTCTATAGCTAGCTACAGTTAAAACTGCTGCAGAATGTGAGACGACAACATGCAATGCGAGAGCAGCAGACGAGCTACTAGTCATTTCCCCACACACAAACATTTATGTTCCTGACTATGATGTAATTTATGCCTGACTCATCTTGCTCATTGCAAAAACTACCAGTATCCATGTTATGTGAACTTTGACAAAACCGCAAGGTGGCGTACGTTTCTTTTGGCCTGCCGGAAGCACCAGTTTGCGTTTCTCGTCAGCCATTTCCACAGCACACCCAAAGTCATTCAGATAGACATTCCACTCAGACGACACGAAACCATTTCCCCTTTTTTTTTCTAAAGCCTGGTCAACATTACAGAGACTTCTCAGCGCTTAAGAGCAAATTCTTAAGATCTTAGGTAAACAACCCTAAAAGGAAAGGGGGATAAATAAGGAAGACCCTTCTTTGCCGTGACAACCTTAAGTACAAGACTTGGCACTTAAACTTTCAACATCCCCAGACTTTTAGCCTTTCTGTTAGGGATTGTTGACGTTTGGTTTGTGTCTGTTAGCGGATGTGCAAAAGAAGTATGTATAGTGGATTCTTGGCACAGTGAACTGGTGGCAAGTAGAATTTAAAACCCTGATGTACAGCTAGAAAAACTAAGTATACGAGAATATTTCAATGGGCTGTAAGGAACGGGGGCGGGGGCATTCACATATTTCAGTTTTGATCACAACTTTATGTGCAACGTTTTCATAGAAAAACAGGCCTCGAAATTAACATTTCTTGCTATTGTCCCAGCACTGTCCCAAAAATAAATTTCAATTGTCCCGAAGTGAGGATGAAGTTGAACTGTCCCAACCTGGGTTTTTTTTTGGGGGGGGGGGGGTATTGTATGACTTTAACTTCAAGTCAACTTTACTTTGCTTATGGTCACTCCCAGGCGCACCATAATTGCAGTGTAGATAGTAAATTCGGGGGGACTTTTCCGGATCCAAAAGCTGGGACGTGATTTTTGCCTGATAATCAAAAGAAGGGCTGACATTCTGATGTTATTTTTCTATTGTCCCAACAATGTCTCAAAGTGTCTTTTTAGTTGTCCCAGCCTGAATTTTAGTGGCCAGTGGCCATTTGACCACCTTTACTTTCGAGCCCTGAAAAATGTCTTAAGAACTCTAATACTAAGTTACCAGTCTGCTCAGTTTGGATGACATGACATGAAATCTCTATATTTAGTCACATGCGTCCATATGAGAACGACAGTGCATGACCTATGGCCTACTCTGCTTGAATTTAGAATAACCGTTCCATTCAAAGCATCCAAGGTCATGAAACAGCCAACCATGGGTAAAAAAATCCCAATGACGACAGCAGGAATGACAAGACAAAACTAGATACAACAAAAACACAAACTAGACAAAAAACTAAACTAAAACGTGTTTGCTCAGCCCCTGTTTGTTACTGTTTACGAAAGTCTCAACATTGTTTATTTGACGTAAGCGTCGTGGGATCATGTGTTAGAATGTAAACAGTGTATCTTCAGGGTATGACAGAATACTGTTGTTGGAATGTGAAGTCTTGTAGTTTACAGACACAAATTTGTAAGAAAATCGTTACAGCGTCTTGTTTCGAGGGCCACTGTGTTTCCGACGAGTGGTTTACCGCCACACAGGGACCATTATGCGTTAGTGTAACCCTTCGCTTGCCACACAACCGTCTAGTGTTTGTACATGATACACGATCCGGCGACTCACTTTCTTGTTGTCGCCGTTGACGGAGTTGGACGAGGGCTCTGTGGCCGACTGCTGGTCGCTGCTGCTGCCCCCCTCCCCTGTCTTGGCCATGGTTTTTGTTTTACTGGGCTGCACCTGTTGGAAATATAATAACAAACAACTCGTGAAGTGCCATTCTCACAGAACACGGACGCCATTTTGATGATGACGGAGCGCCTCCCTGTTCATGAACTATCATTTCTGCTACAATTTTAGATTTGACAATTCGGCCACTAATTTTATGCTAGAAAAATATAATATCAACAAAAATAGATACAGGATAGTGTAATGATTTTGGTATTTTAACGCGTTCTACAGTGCCACAAGTAACTCAGCGCAAGTTCCCACTTACATTTACACCTGCACACCAGGCAATTGTTCGCACAAATCAATCGGAGCGGGCCTTTGTAAGACAAGCAATACAAGTACAATAGAGATGTCAGACCGGTGCATAGGTACACGCGGGATTTGGGCCCAGCGGATAACATTACATACCGGTGCTCTGACCAGTACATAGTGGTACAGCTCTATCAACATTACCTTCCTACGAAAACATGTTCTCAGCGTTAAGCCATGCACAGGCCTGCAAACTCATGAATGAAAAAAAAAACACCAAACACACAAGAATAACCAAAACAGTTCAAAAAGCATACACGGGAGCTAATATACATACGTTATAATACGGTGGTAGTTCGACTCCACTCTGTCGAATGACGATTTCGTCCACTGTTTTAAAAGCTACTTAATCATTGATAATGCTGCACCCAAACAAACCAAGCCCTACGAGTCACGGGGATATAAACAGTAAAACAGGATGGTGAGATATAACGTTACTAAGTTGTCAGCGCAAATGTTTGAAAGATTATGACGTTCGGTCAAAAAACGGAGCATACACTAATTCTGGTACTCACCATGCCTCTCACTAGTCATTGTGTACCAAGTGCATACCAAGTACGGAGGGGTGACTCATTTCTACTTTAAGGGGGGTGTATGATTCATGCTCAAATTTAGGGATGGTCCATGTCTAAAATAGGCAATATCGTTTTTCTTGAAAACCTGATAATACCTTTGTGGTAGGGCTATCCAAGGTCAATTGGGAACGACTGTAGTTTAGACGCCCCCCTCCCCCCTAAGAATTACTCCCCCTCCCCCAGAAAGCCAAGTGGTAAGGTCAAGGGTCAAAGAGGGGGTCGGGACTCTACATATCAGTCCTATGGAGTCATGGGATAATATTTCAAAACCAGTAACTCCGTCAAAGCCCTGCGACCCACACCGTACCACTACACGAGCTCACAACAAAGCGGGCGGCAAATATCTACAGAAACTGACCCTCACCGGCCTGAAAAGAGAGCTGGCCGTACGCAAACAGAGACGGGAATTCTTGCAGCGATTGGGTTGTATATTCAAGTGTTCTGGGAGACTAGGGGAGCCGGGTTGTGTGCATTCCGACAGCGTCTCGTTTCAGAGGCTACGTTCCAAATATGTAGGGAGGGCTGTGGGAGAGGGGAGGGCTATATTTGGGGCTACATGCGCGCCCGAACGCGTCAAGAGGGTGCTTCAGAGTTCGTCACTGAAAGGGTGCGGAGAGACGTGGGGATTTAGCTGTAGCCTCCAAAACAGATTTAGGCCAAAGGGGCGTTTTGATGTTGGTGTGTTACGTGTTGAATGAAGTAAAAAATATTTATTAACAACAATTTGCACAGTAAACCAGTCATATCAGCCCTGATGAAGATGACAGACGGTCGTCGAAACGTTGATCGGCCTGTGAATGTTTGTGAATAAAAGAACTTTACTATTGAATCAGTCACTAACCTGAAGAAATAATGTACGGGTGTTTTATGTGTTGTTTTCCGACTGTCATGAGTTTACGTAAGCTGGGTGTGTAAAATTGGCACGACAGGTATCACAGAGGCACAGAGATAAAGTACGTTTCTCTGGGTGAATTATGTACAGGGCGGGGTTGCGGAGGAGGGGGAGGGCATGATATATTTTAATAGGATCACGGACTAATTTTAGCACCTTCGGTATATCTTGGGTGCCGGAACTGCCATGGCCAAGTGACATGGTTTTGCAGCAAAAAAAAATTTAAATTGAGCACAGCAATTATAGCAACATCTCTGATCAATGTTATCAACGTGCGCAATACATACAATACACTTGCTATATTTCTCACAGATGTTAAAGTTTTGTCAAGGACAATATAATCAAGTAAAAATCCCGCGTTTCTTTAACTATTTCCTTTCCCTGTGCCTCGCATTTTAAGGACTTCCTAGAACCGTAGTAGCCTAATTCAGGGAAAAGATAAGTAGTTAGAGTATGCAAACACTACAACTGCAAGGACACTGCAACTCACCATGAGCAAAGATGGGCCGGGAATCCCGGGATGACTCTGTAGTCTGCAATGTTATTGGAGGTCCTGTCAAAAATAGAAAATATCGTCACTGTTACTGTGTACCATTAAATAACAATACTCATTACCTTCAACAAACAATTAAAAGTGCAATAATCTAGTGCAATATTTGATGCTTATGCTTAAGTTATGTACATGTTAAAATTATATTCTACCTGTGTATCCCATTGTAAAAGCTGCCCAATTCAGCCTGCGGGCTGCAATTAGCAACTTATATGTATGTTGTATGTATGTTTCTTTCGAAATAAACCAGTCTATATAACAAGAAGGTTATGTTTTTGGTTTTGCTATGGTGAAGTAGCAGTGGTCTGGGTCTGTATGACAGCATAACTTAATGGATCCTGATGATACTTGGTAGGAGTGTAGTGGTTGGGGAAACAAAGGTCAAGTTCGGACATGGTTCACCTAGCGTTTTCCTGCGGTACTGCAGCAGACTGTGTATGTTTGTGTGTTTGTATGTGTACAACATAACTCGAGAAACTGTGGATGGTTGTGCATGATATTTTTCATATTTTTGTATTTGTTGTGAACTTCATATGACATTAATTTCGAGCATAAAGCAATAAATCTTTGCAAAAGGAGGTTAACAGTAGGATATAGGAAAGAGCAACTGGGCCCATTTTGAAGTACGAATATCAAACTGTGACAACTCAACTTACACCCCTTTCCCTACTGATTCACCTTGACTTGTGCATAACTAGGGAAGGTTTGAATGTGTGTTTGGCTGGTCGCCACTGTGTGCTGTACGGCATGTGGCCGGGCATGTAGGAGGGGGGAACTCTTTAGTAAACGGATTTTCTTCAATTATCCTCAACAGGCGTATCCTCCCCCAAGTGTCTCTTGTGATCACTCAGTATATCTTAAGACATCAGGCGGTATCTTCTTAGAGGTGCTAGGATCTGTCTTTAGGGAACTCTTTAGTCAATGGATTTTCTTCAATTATCCTCAACAGGCGTATCCTCCTACAAATGTCTCTTGTGATCACTCAGTATATCTTAAGACATCAGTCGGTATCTTCTTAGAGGTAATAGGATCTGTCTTTAGGGAACTCTTTAGTCAACGGATTTTCTTCAATTATCCTCAACAGGAGTATCCTCCTCCAAATGTCTTTTGTGATCACTCAGTGTATCTTAAGACATCAAGCGGTATCTTCTTAGAGGTGCTAGGGTCTGTCTTTAGGGAACTCTTTAGTCAATGGATTTTCTTCAATTATCCTCAACAGGCGCATCCTCCTCCAAATGTCTCTTGTGATCACTCAGTATATCTTAAGACATCAAGCGGTATCTTCTGAAAGGTACTAGGGTCTGTCTCAGGAGGAGCATTCCTTCTAAGATCAGATCCCTGTTAGGTAATACTAGAAGTCTTAAGGGGCTCAGGGATGGAGATAGAGCAAAAGACGTTTTGTACACCATTCGCTTATTCAATAGGTATATGATATCAGCATCACTTAAGCGACCGACCCAGTAAGGCCTTTTTATTTCCCAAGTGCACTAGTAGGATATTAAAAATTGACCGGATCGAACCGGATCAAAGCTAATCTATTCGGCTCGATTTGGACAGTTCTATTCTTTCTGAATCTGTCTTTAATTCACAGATGGCATACCCTACACATATATATATGGTGCAAATGACAACCGGCTTCGACCTCATTTGTAACACAATTAGAATATGATACAAACAATGGCAAAACAGTCTGGATGCCTTTAAAGTGGATACCATGAAATGAGCGGCTCGGCTACAAACGTCTGGTCGGGGGAGTCTCGCCCAGGCACCGAGGGACGTGTCGCGAGTTCACGGTCCCCGTTATATGCTTCATTAATCTTAATCACACTTAACGTGAACTTGGGCCAAACATGCGGACTTAATTATCACAAGATCAAACGTCGAAAACGTGCTTCAACTGCCTGAGTACAGACCACGTGACGCTGAGATGTCACGTGACATTCAGTCCATTTTGAGATAGCACGTCGACGAAACCCCCAATTTTTCACGGTTTTCGTTGGATTTTTGGTCAACGTTGTATCAGAATTTTGCCTGTTGGAGACGATATTTTTCTGACATAACATTTAGAAACTACAGACGGAGTGTTAACGTTAACCTTATATGCGCGAATACGACATTCTGCCGAAGTGCTATGCACAATACATTACGAGTTACATTACAACAATACGATCTGCCGACGTGCCTTTTGAGATGCCTTTGTAAGATATGTAGGTATTTTGTAGAATATGGAAGTCCAATTTTTGGAGACGCTCTGAGGCAGAACTAGAAAACCTGACTAGACTGTGTATTGGACGACTCCAAATCGTCCATGAAAAGAAATAAAATAGCTCTTGAAGAACTGAAAGAGACGTTCATATGATAATGCGAAGGAGACGAAGAATCACTAAAACAAACCACTCAAATGACTGAGGAAATCCTAACAAGTACAAGTAAGTAATAAACTTAAAGGCTCATTTTCTATGTGTATCATTACGAAACAAAAAGACACCCAGACATCTCCGATGACGTCACACTCAGACGTCCACCATCACTCAACGTCATCGCCTCGGTGTGATATTTTGAACTTAGGTGACCTTTAACCCGGAAGTGTGTCACAGCGTCCGCCATTACGTCTTCGCAATAACTTACCGATGTTTTCTCAACTAACAAGACGACAGATCTTGACAGATATAAGCAAACAGATGACGAACTCGCTGAATGTGGAAAAGGGCACTTGGACGTTGTGCCCTTGGGAAAGGCACTTTACACGACTTTCCTCACTCCACCCAGGTGTGAATGGGTACCTAACTTCGGTTGGGGAAAGTCGTATTGAGGTCACCTAGTGTCGCCGAATGGCTGCCGTATAGACCCTTGCGACAGTTCCACAAAAAAATGATTGTGGAACAAATATGTGTATCATGTGTATTATTTGATTGTTGTAATTGATGTGATTTGTATTGATTATTATGTGATACCCTGCATCAATTCAGCCGTATAAAGGCTGCGACTGCACGGGTACTGTTTGGACAATAAAAACCATTTATTTAAAGAACTGTACATCTGGCTTTTTTATCAGTCGATTCGACACCATCCTAGCTTATGCCATAATGTCTTTATTACTCTCTAATGTATCTAGAACTGCATAAGATCTTACTGGGCTGTATTTTTTTTTTCTTTCAATAATAAAACAAAACGAATTTTAGGGATGACTAACTAGGGTTATAAGTAGCATGGGTGTAGAAATGTAACCATCTTCTTTACATTTCGTGCAAATACTGTTTTCTGTTTCTCTGCGTTAATATTGAATCTGTTAGAAACGTTGAGAATACCCCAATATGACCTATTTTACTTATGGTCCCACCCGTTGAAAGAAAGACCTATTTGAAAACCCAAGCCGCCATCTTGTTTGGTAAGTCAACAGATAGAATTCCTAAGTCATCTGTACGGAGGGCACGGTCCGTGGCAGAATATACGGCCACTCGTGTTCCTGACACATACATGGGTGTCAACACACATACCTCAAGACACTGGGCTTAACGGAGGTCTTAAGAGGGTCTATCACAGATTCATCAGGCACGTATAAAACTCCGAATGAACTTTTCATTGTATCGAAACTACATAGACTACAAATGGTATCATTCTACATAGTGTATTACATTGTGTTGCACAATTTTCAACAGTATATGGCTAACATATATAAACTCATTGCACAACAATTGTACAAGCTACAACGTACATGTATGGCATCTACTGCCATATGGCAATGCATATAGCAACAAACAGCTATGGCACTAATATATCTTACCGTAAAGACAATGAAGCCTGGTATGAGAATGTACGTTTACAATCATAAGTGATGTCCCTGTTGGTACAATACATGGGTGGTCGCATGTAATATGTACTTGAATTTGCTTGTTGAATGTATTGATATTTATAAATCTGTAACGGTTATGAATATTGTAATTGCGCTCTCACCGCCAAGGCCCGGGTTCGATTCCCGGTGTGGGAACCACTGTAAGAAACAGGAGGAGCCAGTAAAAATCCTTCTGGTCCCGGGCCGGGGTTCGAACCCACGACCTCCCGGGCACCAGAGCTTCATAACCAGACGCTCTAACCACTCCGCTAAAAGGTCTAGACCCATCGGCCGGGTCAGTTGGTAGCGCCTATAAACCCCCACTGTTACAAATCCTGGTATGAACATGTACTGGACATTGTTATGATATAGAAGAACGCACGATGGCTCTAACAGCTGTTTTGAAGGTCTCGCCTTCTTTGTTTTCACAGAAACATTCCAACGTTCCAAGAAAGGGTAGGGAACCTCGTCACTCGGTAAAGGCAGGATATCATTCGGGTCCTGGCATTCAGACGACCCTCGGACATTCTTACAGACAGGCCGGTTTGTTTTTTCCGTCGACAATTGCGGAGGTCGTCTGCGTCAAGCGTTGACAGATGGATGATGGGAGCTTCGGGAAGAACTGGGTGTTTTACGACATACGTCGCCGTTTTGCGACATTCCCATAATGCCTTGCCATCCTTTGATACCCGGATGTGAAATTTGTGGAACACTTTCTGATTGCAAATCACTTGTATAAACATTACGATATATTCCGTCGAGAAGCGAAGATTAAAGAAAGAAAAAGAAAGAAAAAGAAAGAAGAAAGAAGCAAGGAAAGAAAGAAAGAAAGAAAAAAGAAAAAAAAGAAAGAAGCAAGGAAAGACAGAAAGAAAGGAAAGTCAGATCACGATGAGTCAGCACAACGAATCTAAACTGGAAATCGTCTTAGACAAACGCGATGTTGATTGAAGGCGTCTAAGTAAAAGTCTTGGCCTGGATCACTGCTTAAAGTAAACGCAGACCAAAGATACGAGGTCTGAGAAACACTGGCAAGGAAGTGGCCTTAATTCTTCACTCGGAGAACGTGTTGAGATGTCCCTGAAAGAATGCCAGAGAACTGGAAGCCGTCCAGACTGTCATGTTCCAGCACGCCGGTGGTCACTTCTTACTGGTGCCAGATGATTTAGCC